TGAGATATTATAAGTTGGATATTTGCGTTGAGAAGTACAGTGTGACATAATTTATATTTTGATCATAAATAATTTGTTCACAACCGATGTATAAGGATTTGCACCTTATACTAAAAGGTTGTAGTGTTGACTGATTCACTATTCAGGTTTGTGATTTGTCTTTATCACAGAATAGTTAAAGGTGACTCTATTACATTTGGAGTGTATTGAATGGATCGCGTATCGAATTTAATTATATAGCATGATCTTACGGAGAATTGAATTCCACTAGACCGCTGTGTATTTCATTTAAATTCTTCTAAATCCCTTGACAAGATTATGTATATTTATTTCGTGATTTTAACGATTCTTTGATTCATCAATGGGTGAGATCAACTTGATTGGTCAGATATCTTGATGAGTTGGGAATTTGGGAATGAGTGAAGTGGAGAACATGAATTCGTGATGAAAATCGTCACCCTGAAAAATGGGTAGAGTGACTACTTAAGTATTTTCTGTTGAATGGTTAAAATCTGAGCTCAGTGCTTAGCGACGGCTAAATTTCAACATATGTGATTAGTTTATAGGATCGTTGAAGAAAATGAAATTTAAGTTAGTGTAAAAATAATTAGAAGGGCAAAACGATCATTTATGTTCGTACCTAACTAGTGGATCTCGAACGGGGATAAAATATATATACGGTAGGTCAGAGGAAAGTATTAAAGATTTATTAGCTTTTGTGATCTTATATATTCCAAGAGTTCAGTATTTTGCCTTTAATGAACAAAGGAAAGACTAATAATCGATTGGGTGGTCTAAGGTTGACTAGACATGATCTAATTATTGGAATTTGGATAATATATGTTCGATCAGGTCCATGTGGTAACTCCATAAAGTATTTAAACTTATTTACCGCAATTATAATAATTTTGAGCTTAATTGTAATTAAAATATAATTTTATACTTAGTTGTAATTACTATAAAAGTTGTAAATTTAATTATAATTGTAACTGAAGTTCTAGTACTATACATATAATTAATTATAAACTAATTGGATATGGACTTTAATTAAAACTCCTACTTGGATTTTAATTATAACTCTTATTTGAATGTGGAATTATTATTGTATAAGGATTGAAACTCTTATATCTCTATAAATAGAGATTAGATGGAACCTATACATCATATGGAATTGTATAACATTCATAATACACAATTTCTTAGTCTTCAAATTTGGAGAGAGAAAAGGAGAGAGAAAAATTTATTTTTCTTGAATTTTCAAATTTTCAGTTCAAGAATTAGTTTCTTGATTTAATTAAAAGAAGGTGTCCACTCACCAGTGTAGTATTAACTTTAAAGAATACCATAGAAGACTTGGATATTTGAAACATCAAGTTTTTGGAATTAAAAAGCTGAAAGTTTGTGATATAAAAAGCTGGAAATTCGTGATTTAGAATTTATTCGAGAATTGATCATCAAATTTAAATAAACATTTGAATCCTTTATTTTTTATATAACATATACGTGAATATTTAGATGATGATATTTATTGAATTAAAGAATTTTTTAAATTTCTGAATAATTCTGCTTCCGCATTCCAACGCTCTTACCCTATAAAGAGCAGATAAATAATGGATCACAATGAACTTGCAACATTTTTTTTGTCATCACTATAAAATAGTGAATTGAATTCAGATTCTAATCTAGACTAAATGAATATCTGATGTAACTCCTATAATCATATTGAATGTCCACAATCTTTTCCTTGTAACCCTATCTATAAATAAAATTAAATATCAAATTCATTGGATAAGATGTCTGTGATCCTATCGCTATACTAGGTCGTGATCATCACTCGTACACTCTATTGAATTTATTACTAAATGCGACTGAATTGTTATATAGATCAATCATTAACACAAATCACCATTATTTTAGGTGGCTTACTATCGTGCTCGTTCATCTTTTCGGTTTCTAGTCCTTTATTTTTTACCTGTTAATAAATAATATTATCTATCATCATTGATGCTACAATATCAATTTAGGTAATACTATGTAATATATATATATATATATATATATATATTTTAATAAGATTGTCTTTTAAGGACCTCGAGAAGAACCATATGCACATTGACGAATCCATAGTGGGTCTTGGTGAGTCACGTGACCCTAATGACAGATCCAGCACCCAACAAGGTGACATGATAGTTCGTACTGGCTCCATTGAAATTTACTGGTTCGGTGCCGCCATTGTTGCAGACTTGCAAAGTTGCGTATGCCGACATTGTTGAAGCTGGAAGCCAAATTTTTATTTTATTTTTGGGCCTATTTTTTTTTAATTGAAAATTAGGCCCATGCCATTATCCACTTTGCTCCCGCTTTGTATTGTATTTGTACCCAGCCCCATACCATACGACAAATTAAATTTTGCAACCAAATCGACAAATTGTATAATCTCGAGTCCCTCTTGATGCGTAGCCGGCAGCCCCAACACCATCATCAAGCCTTCAACCTTGTGGGTGACTCCTTTTTTTTTTTTTTTTTTTTATCGTTAATCTTATGGAAATTCATCTTAATCTCTGCTAGTTTTAACATTTGTACACCATCTAATATCGTTTAACACTTTTTTCTTGTTGATTTTAGAACTTAGAGGAACAATTAGAGCTGAGGACGATGAAGTGGTGCATAAGTTGAGACATGTTGCCATGCCATCGAGCAGGGACGAATCTAGGATGTTGAGCCAGCACGGGCGGCCGTAATTAAATATTAAGGGCTTGTTTGATGTCATTTTTTGCTAAAAAAAAAAAAGAAAAGAAAAAAAAGCATTTTGGAATAGTAATTTAATGGAGAATGTGTAGTTAAAAATAATAATAAAATTTGAATTTACGTGTAATATTATTTTATTAAAGAATGTTTGATCGAAAATAAGAGAAAGAAAAATGTATTCTGAACTAAATGGGAATCAAACAAGGTTTCAAATTTAAATAAAATAATTTTTTTGTTGAAGTTGAATATATATAATTTTGTTATAAGAATAAATCATACTCACCAAATAACATTATTGCTTTGTATAATTCAAAGGAAAAACACGATATTAAAATTCTTATAATTGCATTAAACACACTAAGATCTTACATATATTATTTTGTTAAACTTTGTACCACAACTTGTTGAGTGTCATAATGATCAAACTTCATTATATCTTAGAATAGGTCACAGGTTCAATTCCCCATTATCCCTTTCCTTATTTCAATTGCTTTTGGTGAAAATTGTATAACTAAAAATTTATACATTAAATTGGTTTCGAACCCGGGACGTAAAACAAAAAAATGCAAAGGCTGACCAACTCGACTGCAAGGAGCGGCTTAAAAAAAGGTGACTTACCATTAATATATTCTATATATTTGTCTATTCTCAGTCAAAAAAAAATAGCTCCCGGCGGATCCAGCACGCGCGGCCGCGGGGGCTCGCCGGGTGCTGGATCCGCCGGTGCCATCGAGTAGCAGCCATCATGTGAGCCTTCCAAGCGTCTCTTCTTCTCTCTTCCTTTTTTTAATTAATTTTTGGATGCCATTTTTGTTGGAAATGATTTATGATATATAATTTATGTTTCATGAATTATGACTGTGAACTTGCTTCCTGCGGCTGAGGTTTATGATTTATGAAAATTGCAAATTTGTGAATATGTGATGTTTGTGGGGACTGTGATTTATGATAAATGACAAATTGGAGAATTTATGATTTGTGATAAATGATAATTTGTTGTTGGAAATTGAAATTTGATGATATTAAAAGTTAAGTTTAATTTATTTTTATTATGTGATTTAAGTTTAAATTTAGTTAATTTAGACGTCGATTGAAGAATTTTTAATATTATTTAATTAAATATTAATAAACGATATTGTAATTGCGATAGTTAACTGTCGACGATCAATGATCAACGATCGCTCGAACTCACTAACATTTTTGGATCCACCATTGTGTGACCCACCAACTTTCAACTTAGGGTCCATTTGATAACATTAAATTCCATGGAAAATGTCACATTCGAGGAATTCGTTTTATACTTTGGCTGCTTGATACGAAAGTGAAAATGCAATTTGAATTTTAAGGTACAAGCACTTAAAACATGTTTTTGACCAATTCAATGGAAATCTAATTCATATGGTTTTGGTGATTTTTCTTTTCCAACTTACTGGAAATTGATTTGCCTTTTCCACATATGCAACTAAAGAAACTATTAATTCTTTTTATTATTATTATTTTTTTACAAAAATCAAAAATCAGAATTGTGAACATTTTCTGAAGGCTTGATCATTTATGCTATTGTATAATTGGAAGGCTCGATCATTGATTTTAGGATTAGTGTTTAGGATTTTGAAATGGAACCCAAATGTAATTTAAATCATGTTCGAATGACATTAGGGCCTTGTTTGATAGGCCAAATTTTCCATGGAAGATGGAAATTATCCCACCATTTTCCAAGTTTTAGCCTGTTTGATAGGTAATATTTTCTTGGCAATTGTTTTTCTCACTTTCATGACCCTTTATTCCACAAAAGTGAAGAATTGCAATTCCCATGCGTGAGTTGGTTTTTCATTTTCTTGGCAATTGAAATTGAAACAAACCCAGTTTCTCACGCCAAACCCTATTTTCCTTTCTCTTTCTTCTCACACCACTCCCCCATTCCCATTTCTCACTTAGAATTCCCCCCCCCCCCCCCCCCCCCTTTATCACTTTTTTTTTCTTTTTTTTTT